TAGTCTGCCTCTGAGTCCCAGTGATCAACAATGAGCCATAATGGAGACCAGAGTTTGCTCAGTGCGCGTCGTGAGATAAATACTGAAGCCAGTGGGAGCCCGAGTCAGGCTCTCTGAGCCTCAATGATGAACACGGAGGTACCGCTCTGAAACTGACGGTCAATCCGATCGCGCAGATGGGACATCGGCCAGCGTGGAGCGCCGGTCTCCTCCCCGAACCTCCTTCCGCGTATCTCGCCCGCGCCCAGCGACATCGGCAGGCCGCCCGGAGCGGCGACTACTGCGGGGAGTGGTGGTGGTGGAGGCGCCCTGACCACCACTCCCGCACAGGAAAAGGCACCGCGAGAACGCCTTGGCGGCTGCCTCGATCCTCGCGGCTGTCCCGCAAGTCCCCGCGCGCGCCGTCGCACCGCAGAAATACAGCGGAGAGGCCGCCACGCTCCCACGAGAGAATGGGCGACTGCGTCCGTGCGCGCGCATGGCCCTACGCTCGTTCGAGGCCGGGCAATTTGCCCGAAAAGCACTCGATACGCGCAACGGATCTGCATCATCCACTGCGCCGCGGAGTTATGCCGGTACAGTTAATCTCCCTCCGCGCTGCACGAGAGCCAATGGAAGAAGGTGGAGTGGGATTTTGTTGTCGTTGCCGCCGCTTTACATTGTTAATATTCCGGCTATTTTACGCTTGCCACGGTGCGGGTTAATCGACTCGCCGCCTGCTCGAGAGGGTGCCGGTTCCGATCAATATGTAAAACTCTGCTTAATGAGATTTTTTTCTTTAAAACGTAGCCCATTACGAGTGCGTCAGGGTCACGGTAGACAACATTTTTGTTGCTTTCGTGCTCGCACAGAGATGCACTCGCCGTAATCAGACCCACTGTGACCAGCACTCCACTGCCGAGAGGTTGCGGGCCGGCAGGAAGGGACGAGGTCAAAAGGGCAATTTTCCCCGGGGCCTCACACAAAAGAGTCCCCCTCCCCCCCCCACACACCCCGTGCCTGGGGTTGGTGGAATGTAAGAGAGGGGGGCACCACGCGGCATTGCTGCCCCCAGTCCACCAGGGAAGCCGTGGGCAGCCCTGGCCTTCCCGAATGTTCTTTAGCCAACAACTCTCCCCCGCGAACGTGTCGTCGGGCTCGGTCGCCGATTGTTGGGCACCGTCGCATGATAGTTTCGCCGCAGGTGCCGGGAGCTTCTTCGGCAGTGACACAGCACAGCCGCTCAAACAAAAGCACAAAAACGCAACTGGTGTTCGTTCACTCGCGTTGCGAGCGCCTCCCATCGCGAAGGCGATGACAAAACAGCGGATCGCAGTGCTGAGCAAAGGGATCCGGGGTCGTTACTACTACTACATACAGTGCATTGCCCATTCCTCCCGCGTCACCCGGCGCTGTTTTTTTTTAAAGATTATTGGGGTTGAGGTGCCTGAGGCAGAGTCCTAAGAAGGGGGCTTTCTGTGATAAGGGAACGCAGTCACCGAGGGGAATGGATCCAGGCTGGGCCAGACGAGCGACACAAACACAACCAAGGCAACAAGCGAAAGTTCTAAAAGTGCACAATGTATTACAGTATTATATACAGGGCTGTTTGTGTCTTTTATTCGGTAAACATTACTAGACACGGTATAATTAGCCGTCCATTTAAGAAAACCAGTAAAACACAAACGAGTACTGTACTGAGAGAAAAAAACCAACCCGCATCACGTTAAACAACAAACTGGGCAAACCAGTCCATTAAATATGGCCTTCACATTTGCATTTGCAAATAACAATTTTGCTGTACAAAAAAAACCAACGGGACAACGTTACAATTCATGCACCGCGTAAGACAAAGCGAGGCTGGGCCAGGATTCAAAATCCACGTCATATTTCCCCCCCCCCCCCCCCCCGTTTTGCGGACAAATAAAATAATTAACCAAACCGGCTGCCACCGTCCACATCGGGAGGGCACGCAACGAGATAAGCCGATTGGGGGGGGGGCGCTTCCCAACGAATTTCCATCGCAGGCAACGGTGCAGCAGCACCCACGGCGCGAGCCATCAGTGGCATCACCCGCAACAAACGCCGCCTGCACTCTCTGAACCCGCCGTGGCCGCGCACAAAACGGCGGGGCTCGGCATATAAAACAAAGCTGGCTGCTCCGCGGCATTCCCCTACGGGGGGGGGGGGGGTCTCGCAATGCCGCCGGTGGAAGGGCGAATTGCACCACAAATCCGAGCACTTAAATATTTAACGCTTCCGCGACCGCGTGCGCTGGCTGGGGCGGGCGCCGTCGCATCCCAACCCGAAGGAGGAAGCCGGTTCATTGACCCGCCGAATCGAGGGGGAGCGTCACCGCCGCCCCGCCACCGTCCCGCACCCCCCTCTGTAATTAATCCGCGGCGGGGATGTGCGTGGTCAGACGAGGTACGGATGCGAAGAGCTACCAAAGTCTGAATATTTGTTATCGTGCGCCGATCACCGAGTCCATCCGCGACGATCATCGCCCGCTCGTGAACCCCCACAAGACGTTGATCATTAATATTAAAAAAGGCAACGGAGCGATCGTTCAAAGCTCACATCGGGATTGGAACTGGTCCTAGCGGGGCAGAAATCACTCACACCGGGGGTAAAAGCACAGCTGCTACCCCGCACCCCCCAATCACGTCCAGGAGATGCCGACACGAAGAGCACAAGAGGTCTGTGTGTTAAATGTTCGCCACTGAAACCAGAGTAAGCACAGCTAGTGGGGCTCTCACACGGTACTGCACGCGCCCGCACGTCGTCGACAAGAGGCTTGCGTTATTGAAAACGAGCGGACAACAATTGAAAACGAGCAGCCGTGCCGAGCTCTTAGCAGCGTTACGAAACGAGCAGCAACACGCGCCATGTAAACGTCATTTGGAAATAGCGCCGCAGAGAAATGACTCACCCATACCAATGTAAAAAAAAAACCTATGTTTCTCAGAATGTATTTATAGCTATGATTTGATGATGTGCAGTTCAGTGATAGGCATGCCAGACCACAGGAAGGGTTTCCTGCATACTAAGCATCGCAAATTGTTTCTGTGCGTACCAGTAAAGCTGCGATCAACTTATCAAGGAACATTGCAATAGCCCAGAACAGAAATGCCCTCTGCTCTATAAACACCAAGAGCTGAGCCTTATACAGAGGTCACAATTATCGCGAAAAAAATATTTAACGGCCATCCACGTGTCTACGTTTGTCTCATCATGTGCCCATACGAAATGTAACACAATTCAGGATTTACACACAAACGCTTGCAGTACTGGAACAAACATAAACGAATATTCTCCTGTGTTTACCAAGTGTTAAATACGGTTTATGTCAATTTGGGGCCGACTTTGTGCACAGCGCTAATGACTGCCTGCAGATATGCTCAACCGCGACGATGACAGGCCTCGGATCGCCCGGTCACGAATATAACACGTGGTGTGCGTACCACTGCCACATCTAAGTGCACCGCACGGCCATTTAAACTTATGTACACAAACACATTTATACGCAACTTCAGTATTTACAGATTCACCACCTGCGCTCAAAAAAGCGCTGGCCGTTCACAAGCTTTAATTTACACCAAGCCGCTTCCGTTGTGCATAAAACGCAAAACGTTCACAAAACATGATCGACGGTATACAAATAAAGTACTTTGAAAACACCCACATCATATATATAGTCTCTATAGTATGCAACACGGAGGGTTCTGTATTTAAATACACAATTGCTATCGGTATGACGAGTATAATAAGTTCTTGGTCCATAGTATGCCACTCTTTTAACGAATTCCGTCAAGTACAAACGGATCATACTCTCTGGTTCTTTCGGTAAAGTCACGTAGCTAGAAAAAAATAATAATTTACAGATTATTATTGCACGTGTCTACGTTTGTTTCACGCGTCCGTCATCAGGTCATCAGGTGATGACGGAAACTGGTGTTGCGACCGAAACGTGTTTTTTAATTTGATTTTTCTACCTACGTTGACTTGACCGAAAGAACCAGAGAGTATGGATTCCTGCAGTCACGAAAACTTCAAATCAAGATACAAACGGATTGCGTTGCAAAGACCCCGATATAAAACATCATAATGTATAAGTGCCATTCAGCTACATCGGTCAGGAAGGTTCAGGCCTCAACGCCGCAACTGGCGAAGCAACGCGAGCGGCAGGAAAGGGGGCGGGCGGGGCGGTTTGTGAAGTTTGGAGCTGTGCTCTATTTTAACTCGAACAACACAGACAACTTTCGCCGTAACCTCCCGCTGCTCTTGTCCCCATGCGCGACGCCTCTCCGCTGCACCTAATCACCTTCCGTGCCGTCACATGTGCCCGTCAGAAGCGGAACGCACCGCTAATGCCCGGGCCATCGCTGTCAGTCCCTCTTAACGACAGCAACAAAAAAACGCCATCGACAATAACGGCGCGGCGACCGACCACGTGCGAGCCCCGGCTCGGCGACAGGACGCAGCCAGTACCCCGGCACGCACCAACGGGGCCCACCACGGCCGCTGGAGGCGGCGGCGGATGCGGCGCCCGGCGATGAATCTCGCGTTGTCGCGGCGCGAAAGCTGCGCCCGTTGGTTGCTAACGCCAGCGCTCTGCCGCCGCACGGGACGCTTTCAGCCGGCGAGGGCTTTACGCTGTGCTCCACTTGGGATAGATGCCAGGAGATAGTTATCTCCAGTTTTTTTTGTTGTTGTTGTGCTTAGCGGTTACGCAACCGATTCTCACAATGGCACGGTGTATTTTGGAACCCGCAGCGAATACGCAGAAACCTGGCGTGCAAATGCCTTCCTTATTTTCACTGACGATTGCCCGCAGTCTCGCGAGGAGGGGAGGAGGTGCAACGCTACCTTTGAGGTTCACATAAAACTCTGAACAAGAGTCCAAAAAACCTAAATAGGATTCCACCCGCAGGATCATATCAACAAAATATTAACCATTTACACCCCCCTCCCCGCCGCTTCAACCCCCCACCCCCCCCCCCCCCCCCCCCCCCCCAAAATGTGAGACATCAGGAGGTACCCAACATGAGTCATCAAGTAGGCGTGAAATAAAGCACAGGGGTCTTTTTTTAGATCCATATCCATTATGCCTGTCTGCCTGTCTGCCTGTCTGCCTGTCCGACACCTGTGCATTACCTGCGAGTGGCAGCATGCAGGTTGCAAACTGCAACGGCCTCCTGCATCTGTGGGTGGTGCAACTTTCTCTCCCTCTGTCTCCTGGTGCTGTGCCAGGCGCTAGGATTCCCCCCCCCCCCCCCCCCCCCCCGAGGGTTGGGTGGAAATCGCAGCATGCGCGCGAGTGGGCGCCTGCTGGTGTCGCGAAGGAACCCGGCGATTTTAGAGCAAATTGCCGACCAAAATGGGGGGGGGGGGGGGGGAGGGAAAGGGAGAAAATTGTCCTTTGTGTGTAAGTCGATGGCTTTTTCTCGCTTTCGCGTCTCTCCAGCCCCCCGCTCCATCGCCGCTTGGCGTGCGCCGAATTTCTCAGGCTGAAAAAGGGAGACAGGGGGGTGGGGCAGGGAGGAGAACAAATATAGACTTTAAGTACCGCTCACGCGAGCACCGCAATTGCCAGTTAATGCACAAGCTTCACACGCAACTCGTCTCCTCCGCAAAGAAAAATACAGGTGGTCACAAACTTGAGCACGAGGCACAAAGAGGTCAGCCCACCTCACTGTTAGAAACCTCAGAGCATCGCCGATTTATAAGAGCAGCAGCATTAAAAGTCGGTGGCCTCTCCGCATTCTCCATCGAAAGTCACATCCTATTGTTGAAATGCGTGGGCTTTATGAATCGTGGTTATTATTACGTCAAAAGGAAGTCTCTAAACAAAGAGTGGAGATTTGTCATTCTCATTTAATATCTCATTCTCAAAACGGTCTACCTGCCCCCCACCCCTCTCTGATGTATTTACAGAACACCTTTTGCCTTCTCAAATCGGGAGACTTGCAGTCATTGAAAATGGTGCAATTAGTGGCCGCAACTTTCAACACAGCATTACCGCGATGAGAGCACACGTCTGCAATGAAAGGTGTCGGGCGACGCAATGACCGGACGCTCACCGGTGTCTTCCCTACGCCTTGGAGGCAGAATCCTTGCAGTTGTTGATCGACGGCGTGACCATGGCGGAGGTGAAGGTCACGGCAGGGAAGATGGCAGAAGACACGGAAGAAACGGCGGCGACTTGAGAAATGAGACACGGCGTGACGGGGACGATGATTTGATCTGCCCTGTGACCGGCGGCACCAGGGAGCGCGGAGGCGACCGTCAGGGTCTTGGCGATGGGCGCCAACGACAAGGAACCGCGGGAGGTGGCAGCGCCGGGGAGGCCCACGGGAGCCGCGACGGGCGCGGCGGCCGGCAGGACGGACAAACGTGGGAGAGTGGTGGGGACGGTGGCGCCCGCGGCTTTGCCCGTCCAGTTGCTGACGTTGACGACCGGGTGAGCGACCGATAAGACCACGGGGTAAGCGAACGTGGGGACGGCCAGAGCGCCGGCCGGCACGGCGGGAAGCGGGGCGGCGGCGACGGTGGCGGTGTTGACGGCCACGGTGTTGACGGCCACGGTGTTGACGGCCACGGTGATGGCGGCGAACGAGTCGGCCACGAGCGCCCGCTCCAGGCGGCGCCGTGCCTGCTTCACCCGCTCCTCCTGCTGCCTGCCGTGCACAACATCGGGGGCGTAAAGTTACGTCGACGCGCCGGGGGGCCGATGGCCCCGTCGGCGAGACGCCACCGTGCCCGCCTTCAACCCACAAGGAAAGCGGTGAACGCTGGCGGCGGAGTGCATACATCGGGCTGGCAGCGCCATCTACAGGGCTCGCGTGTTCTCCGGGGAACCAGAGCGCCGCTCCGCAGGCAAATTGGATGAATCGATTAATAGTTTACCAAGCAATCAAAGTGAAACTTAGGAGCCTCATTAACAACAATGCCCTTAAGTAGCCGTAATTACGTTGTTGCAGGTTGAGCATCCCTGCCCACGGGCACCGCGCCCGAGCAACGCTACGCGGACGCGCCGAAGTGCGGACGCAACGGTACAAGCCGCCGAGCGCTCTCACTCGCCTGATGTCGTCCTCCGTGACGACGAAGGGCCAGTGGTCAGGGTGGCCGGAGTGGCCGGGTGGGGCCGCGCCGACCTGCGAGGGCGGGCGCGCTGGCGCCGCGAGACGGCAGTAGCACAGCGAGTTGATCACGACCACGAGCAGCGAGTCCAGAGACGAAGCAGAGCTCACGCCTGTCCACGTGCCGGCACACGGTAACAGCGGCCACCGCTTTGTCATTCAACTCGTTTTCGAACCGAGACGTCAGCGAGTTGCTGGATGGATCCCGTTCACCCGTGAATGCGCAAGCAGTTCAGCGTTGATTTTATTTAGAGGCGAGCGATGTTGTTTTTATAGACGTTGTACTCACCGCAGAGAACCGTAGCGACACGATCACACTACATGATAGCTGGCGCCAAACTGTGCCACATGGCAATGTGGCAGCCTCGGTACCGATAAAGTTATTTTATTTAACAGTTTTCTTCCGGAACAGGAAGAAAAACTGAACGGGAAAGGGTTAAACAGCGATGACGTTTAGTCTGTCGATGCATGCTCGTAATTACGCTGAGAGACAGAGAACAATCTAATTGTCAGACATTAACAGGTTAATTGCGTAATTAACTGGAAATATGAAAATTGGGTGGGTTAGGGCAGGTCACGTCGATAGACGGTACGATGGCCGAAGGTCAAGAATGTTGGAGTAGAAGCCAAGGAACGGAATGCGTCTGAGATTTATCTCTAAATGGAGCAATGAAATCAGCTCATGCAAGGTGCTGGGGTGATTATTACATTGAAATCCATGAGAGATGGCCACGGCTTAGGGGAACCTTAATTCAGCAGTGGATTGATCATGGCCAATGATGACAATGATGATGTTCAGTCATTGGTAACCGGGCTGAGACCATCAACTGACTGCGCTAAAATTTCGGCTCTGGGAATTAAATAAGAATCTGTTTGACCGTCACGCGACAAACATTAGTCTTGGTGGCGGAGAAGGTGGGTCACTGTTGCCTATTACTGCGTGGATCAAAGGTCACTGGAAGCGATCTCAGAATTAGTTCTGCAATATCCATGGGCCATGATATTTTCGAAGGGTTGCTCTGCTCCGCGAAGATTCCCAACAAATACTTTGTCTCATTACATTAGGCGCCGATAACATTGGGGAAAATTATATATTTTTGAATTCGCGGTAATGTCATCAATACTTCTGTGCCAGGCTAGGTGCACTCTGAGACCATGTGACATCGTAACGAGTTGCTCAGCTCCACGAGTTTCCAAACAAATACTTTGTCTCATTACATTGAAGCCGACAACATCGGGTTAAATTATTTCTTTATTTTTGTCAATTAGCAGTAATGTAATCAACACTTGTGTGCCAGGCTAGGTGCACTTTGAGACCATGTGACAAAGCAAAGGCTCACTGGCAGCTCGTGGGGACAGAGCAAGGTGTTACAGGTTAATTGATGTGGATGACTGGCGCATTCACTACACGCACCCACCCCCACCCACCGTGCCAACTCATTGCTGGAAGGCAGCTGCAACCAGCTGCTCACGAATGCTTTCCACGAGTTGCCCCCAGAGAGAAGCCAATCTTGTCCTGACTGGTACCAGCCATTAGCAACTCCATTTGGCTTCAGGTCCACACCGTCCCACATCGGCCCATTGCTACATATTCTTATAATTACTATTACAGTGGTTTACGCAGGAGGGCCTCAAAGAGTCTCAAGACTCATTGTCTTACTGCCATGTGTTCGCGGTACGGGAGGTGGGGGTGGTGAATGCTGCCAAGTGTAATCCCAAATGAGTCATTTTCAGGTGATGTTTCAGTCTTGGGATGTTTGGCCAAAACCAGTTATAATTTACGGTTTTCTTGTTTTAGCCATGGGAGGAAGCTGGAGAACTCAGTAAGAAAGCCATTCAGGACAGAGGAAGAACATGCAAACTCCAGACAGAAAGGTGCCCGAGTTGGGAATCCATTGGCGCCACGGTGGCAGGAAGTCATGGGTTCGATCCCGACCCCGACGCCTGCTGTATATTTGGAGTTTGCATGTTCTCCCCGTGGTCGCATAGATTTTTCTCTGGGTCCTCCGGTTTTCCCCTCCACGGTTAGAATCAACGTGCATTCAGAGTATTTGGCTGCTATAAATTTCCACATAAGCTACTTCGCGTTGAGCTATCACTTGTGAAAGCCAGGTGACTTCTGAAAAAGAGCTATACAGCTCAGTGAGCCTTACCTGGTAACATAAATTGATATTTATTTTTTAAAGAACCCAGGCCCCGATTCCTGTGAGGCATGATCGTTACCAGAGCGCCAACCTGCCGCCTTCATCCAGCCCCCTCTGTTCGTTAAAAAAATAAGCGACGCTTGGGCACGCGGTGGCTGGGCGTGCAGGCTCCATGACCCAACCAAGACATTCTCATTAGCTGTAAGAGTCCACTGATAAGCATACAAAAGTGGCAGGCACTTGCCATTCGATACTAAGTGACGATGACATCGCTGCTAAGTAGCGGTGATGTCACCATGTCGCATAGGTCAGAATTGCTGCACTTTGAGACCACATGCAGTGGCAAAGGCTTCCTGGTAGGTCACAGGACCCAGATGTTATTGATTAATGGGCTCGGGTGACTTGCAGATGCAATACCCACAGTGCCGACTGGGCCAACTTACCCGAGCACGCACAAAGATCCCCCGAGTATCCTACATAGGCTGTCAGGGCAAGAGCTGCGTAACGAGCACGCACGCAGCACGCACGCACGCACACACGCGCGCAACTGTTGGCGTGTGTGTGTGCGTACGGAAGACCGGACGCTCGCGCGCATGGCGTGAGCGATTGAACGTGCGACCGAGATCGGTCACGAGTGTATACAATCACCCCGAGCGTGAGCGGCCACAGCAGGGGCGTTAATGGTATGTGTTCAAGAGCGCAAGACAAATTACCGGGGGGGCTGCGATGGCGGTGATTTATGGACAACCCAAAGCGAGACCCCCACCTTGTATTAACCAGGGGTTGTGCACGGCATTGATGACCTCGCCGACGATGTCCACCGTGCTCTTCCCCTCCATCTGGCCGCCTTGAAACAGCTGCAGCACCAAAGTTCACGTCAACAGTTCAAGACGATCAATACCCATTCTATTAGGTGAGAACGTTGACGCACAAGGGCAACAAAATAAATGTGGCCTCCTCGGACAGGAGAGACACTTTCACGAATGATGAGTTGCCTGCTCGCTCAGCTCAGCCGCTAATAGGCGCAGGAGCAATATCCCTCCAGCCGCCGGGTGTCCCAATATTTTGTGTCGAGTGCCGCATTGAGCGATAAGCATAGAACTGCAGGCCACAAACATGGAACAAATGTGGAGATAGGAGACAGATGTATTTGGAACTGACGTCAGCGATAGAAGGGATTCTTTCAGCGAAATAAAAAAGTATCTTCTCTTGAAGGGCACCGATAAATATTTAGATGTGAAAGCGTAAGAGCAACAGTTTCTGGCTTGCCGAGCTCATCCATAGGAGTAGGTATCACGCAGAGGTCTCGTGCACAGGCAGTGAGACAGCCCGCCACCAGCATTCACTCGGTGCGGATGACTGGGAGGTCGACGGTGTAGGGCAAGGTTATGTGTGTGTGTGTTTTACCTGACAATTTGTGTGTGTGTGTTTTACCTGACAATGTGTGTGTTATGTGTTTTACCTGAAAATGTGTGTGTGTGTGTTGTGTGTGTGTTTGACCTGACAATTTGTGTGTGTGTTTTACCTGACAATTTGTGTGTTTGTGTTTTACCTGACAATTTCTGTGTATGTGTGTTATGTGTGTGTGTTTTAACTGACAATTTCTGTGTGTGTTGTGTGTTTTTTACCTGACAATTTGGCAATGGAATTTACAACGCTTTTTTCCACAAAACAGGCTGGTAAACGCAAAAAAAACAGTTCACAAGACAGCCGGCCAATTCACCTTGGAGAACACAGGAGAGGTTTTAGAGCTATAAATAGAAATGTGAAAAAAATTAATGCAATTATCGTTGTGCTGGCACAAGCACATAAAGCGGTCCGACTGGTTCGCCCGGCAAACGTTCGAGACTAAAACTCTTCTGAAATACATTCTGACGTGACGACGACCCATTAGCACGTGAAGGAAACGTAACTAACCCCGTTCAAATCAATCTTGCTATTTGTGGTGATCACAAGATGAGCAATCGCCCATTTTCCAGAATCAAATTATTTCTGCGCTCATAAAACAACCCCACCCCCGCTCTGGCGTAGCGTCCTGCGACTTAGGCCTCGTTTTCACAGCAGCGTCTGGACTTGCGCTGCCTGCGATTCGATGGAATGTTACACGTAGCTTATTTCTCATCCACTCTCATTCACTGCATCCAAATCGAATGTATTTTAAATGATGTTTACGTGTGTGTGTTAAGCAACAAGTACATTTTTGTCCTGGTTATTAATAGTAATATGATGTGGGTTTTTTCTTTTCTCCCATCTTATGAAATATACAATTCTATCCAGCCTATTCATTGTCCGTTAATGATTCCTTCGGGGTGAAGAACATTGGTATCAGTTCGTGGGGAAGTCATCAGCGGTTGCCCTACGGAGAGACTCGCCACCGCCTCGAGCCGTCCCTCTCTCTCTCTCAACCCCCCCTCCACGCACTCTCAGCTCCAGCAACCAAAGCACGTCTGCTAAAGCGCCCAGTCAACCATCTCTCCAATCACTCATTCTCCTCTGCTGCCCCCAATGTCTGGAACTCCTTTCCCCCAGCCTTCTGTGCTGTCGACTGCCTGCCCCCAGGCTCAAGACCTGCGCTTCACCTCGGCCTATGACTGCCTCTACAACAGTTGAAGGACCGTTTCTGTACAGCAACTTGAGGTGCGGTCACATTTGGATGCCAAATAAATCTGAATTGTGTTGCATTGCAAGTTGGCCACACATCCCAATAAAAGACCCTCCCGAAGAGCAGTCTTGGGATTCACTGAGGCTGAATCTGGCTAATAAAGGGTATTAATAATATAGCCAATGTCGTAACTGTTTTCAAAACCCCTTGAACCTGTGGTTAAATGACTCATAGGTCAGTTATTTCTTGCTCAAATAATCATTAAGATTCCACGTTCCTACAGTAAGGGAAAAAAGTATTTGATGCCCTGCTGATTTTGTACGTTTGCCCACTGACAAAGAAATGATCAGTCTATAATTTTAATGGTAGGTTTATTTGAACAGTGAGAGACAGAATAACAACAAAAAAATCCAGAAAAACGCACGTCAAAAATGTTATAAATTGATTTGCATTTTAATGAGGGAAATCAGTATTTGACCCCCTCTCAATCAGAAAGATTTCTGGCTCCCAGGTGTCTTTTATACAGGTAACGAGCTGAGATTAGGAGCACACTCTTAAAGGGAGTGCTCATAATCTCAGCTTATTACCTGTATAAAAGACACCTCTCCACAGAAGCAATCAATCAATCAGATTTCAAACTCTCTACCATGGCCAAAACCAAAGAGCTCTCCAAGGATGTCAGGGACAAGATTGTAGACCTACACAAAGCTGGAATGGGTTACAGGACCATTGCCAAGCAGCTTGGTGAGAAGGTGACAACAGTTGGCGCGATTATTCGCACATGGAAGAAACACAAAAGAACTGTCAATCTCCCTCGGCCTGGGGCTCCATGCAAGATCTCACCTCGTGGAGTTGCAATGATCATGAGAACGGTGAGGAATCAGCCCAGAACTACACGGGAGGATCTTGTCAATGATCTCAAGGCAGCTGGGACCATAGTCACCAAGAAAATAATTGGTAACACACTACGCCGTGAAGGACTGAAATCCTGCAGCACCCGCAAGGTCCCCCTGCTCAAGAAAGCACATATACATGCCCGTCTGAAGTTTGCCAATGAACATCTGAATGATTCAGAGGACAACTGGGTGAAAGTGTTGTGGTCAGATGAGACTAAAATGGAGCGCTTTGGCATCAACTCAACTCGCCGTGTTTGGAGGAGGAGGAATGCTGCCTATGAGCCCCAGAACACCATCCCCACCATCAAACATGGAGGTGGAAACATTATGCTTTGGGGGTGTTTTTCTGCTAAGGGGATAGAACAACTTCATCGCATCAAAGGGACGATTGACGGGGCCATGTACCGTCAAATCTTGGGTGAGAACCTCCTTCCCTCAGCCAGGGCATTGAAAATGGGTCGTGGATGGGTATTCCAGCATGACAATGACCCAAAACACAGGGCCAAGGCAACAAAGGAGTGGCTCAAGAAGAAGCACATTAAGGTCCTGGAGTGGCCTAGCCAGTCTGCAGACCTTAATTCCATAGAAAATCTGTGGAGGGAGCTGAAGGTTCGAGTTGCCAAACGTCAGCCTCGAAACCTTAATGACTTGGAGAAGATTTGCAAAGAGGAGTGGGACGAAATCCCTCCTGAGATGTGTGCAAACCTGGTGGCCAACTACAAGAAACGTCTGACCTGTGATTGCCAACAAGGGTTTTGCCACCAAGTACCAAGTCATGTTTTGCAGAGGGGTCAAATACGTATTTCCCTCATTAAAATGCAAATCAATTTATAACATTTTTGACATGCGTTTTTCTGGATTTTTGTTGTTGTTATTCTCTCACTGTTCAAATAAACCTACCATTAAAATTATAGACTGATCATTTATTTGTCAGTGGGCAAACGTACAAAATCAGCAGGGGATCAAATACTTTTTCCCTCACTGTATGACAGGGGGGCGAGTCCATCCAAAGGACAACCACTATAAGAGGTTTTTGTTGGGTTAGATCGCGTAAATATATAAATGTGTCGTTAATGCACATTCATATTGTATGCTGAATCAGTAATACCCCCCCCCAAACTTTGAGCACAGAAGCGTGTGGTCACCACATCTACGCCTCTATATAAGGAACAAAACAGTTAAGACTTCACAAATCTGGCTGTCGCCTGATGAAGCTAGTTGTAATCACTGGCGAAACGTCGTACTCAGATTGTAAATGTTCTGGCTTGGCTCTCCAATACACCGGTGTGCTGTACTAGTATACTACATTATACACTACACTATACACGAGTGCTGTACTAGTGGCGGATTGGCACGTTCTGTTCATGTGACAACCCTTACTAGTTGGCTGTCGGGTGGTGGCGGGTTTTAACGACACATTTAGATATTTACGCGATCTAACCCAAAAAAAACCCTCTATTATGGATGACATTGGTCGCGAAAGCCTACTGTTGACTTCTCTACAAATCGGTACAAATTTTATCGACCCCGGAAAGATGAAGGGCCGAGTCAGCCCCCCGCAAGCAGGATGTGAACTCGCAAACCTCCGACTGCGAGCCTCCCACTCCACCGCCAAGCGACGCTAGCGGTGCGTAACAGCGAACACAAAAGGGCCCCCCCCCCCTCTCCTCCACCCACCCCACCTGTTTGATCTTGTCCAGGATGGGCACCTCCTTGAACACGATGATGCGGGCGAGCCTGGGCTGCACGAAGAACCTGGTGAACACCTGATAGGGCTGCTTCACCACCTCCTTCTGTATGCAACGAGACCACCACGATGTCATAACCCCAGCTGCCGAACGAACTTGTGCCAGCAAAGGGGAGATCGGGGGCGCTCGGTGAGCCCTGAGGATCCAACGCACGACGCCCCCCAACCGCGGGGCACTACAGGGCCCATTGCCTATTTCACGACTCTCACTCTACCTCTCTGGACTATCTATGTGCTCTGCAGAAGGGCCATTGACCGAAGTCACCTATTATATATACAGTAAAACCTTGGATTGTGAGTAACTTGGTGTGTGAGTGTTATGCAATACGAGTAGTACGTATACACGCTTTGTCTGCCGAGCGTCACGTGATCACAACTGATATACGAACGCTTTGGATTACAAACTGGTTTCCGAAACGAATTATGCTCGCAATCCAAGGTTTCATTGTATATAGTTTTTTTTAAGGCCACAGTGTCATTGACGAATGTGTTCATTAATTCATTGTTATCTGTGCTTGTGCACCACTGCCGACACAGCTTCACCAAATAATTTGTATAAAGTCAGTCGCGTTCAAGCGAGTGTAAAGGAATGTAAGATTGACGTTCATCACCTTCTTCAACTGTTAATTCGTTCACATTCATTGGTCTGCCTCAGGCCGCCGCAGGCTGTAGTCACGCTACTAAATTATTCCAGTCCGCGTCTTCATACAGACTTGTTAATTTCGTCTCGTCAAAAGTCGATCGTGCTCCGGTCTCTGGTTGGCAGTAATCGTGGTCATCATCGCGCTTGGTCATTTTCATCCACTCACAGTCATCATCGACCAAATTAAAACACTGCTTTGACAAGTATTTTTGCTGTTAATTAATTCACAAAATTTACACTGAGGGGGGGGCGAGGGGGGGGGGTGCAGTCATGACGAGACTGCACTTTGAGAAGCGATGCTCTGTCAAAGCACTGCCACAGCAGAAAACTGAAAGTTACAGACAGGGAGATCTTACCTTCACGGCCAAACCTGACTGCGAGTTGGTGTGTTGAGCGCCATGCTCCGTCTTCCTCAACTCGGCTGCAGCAGTTGTGTGTGTCTTGGGAGAGGTATATTTCCGGATGGAGTTTTGCTGTCCGGTGGGAGTGCGTTTGATGGCGGGCTTCTGCTTGGCGGGGGGTGTGCGCTTGGCGTGCGCGTGTTTGACGGCGTGTGCGTGTTTGACGGCGTGTGCGTGTTTGACGGCGTGTGCGTGTTTGACGGCGTGTGCGTGTTTGACGGCGTGTGCGCGTTTGACGGCGGGCGCGCGTTTGATGGGGGAGCTGGGCTTTTGGGCCGGAACCGGCTTGGTGGGTGAGTCAATAACTTTTAACTTCTTCTGCAAAGAAAACAAAAAATAAGTATTATTATTATTATTTTAACACCCAGCATCATTTTCAGAAGCGCAAATTGGTAGCAGGGACAGGTTATTGCTGGACTGTAAAAAAAAAAAAATTGCAAGAGCAGAGAGGTCAAGTTTAGGTTTCAAAGTTGGTGATTTAGACATGGGTCATGTGTCTCTGTTATTGCACAGGTCTGAGAGCCGTACTTGAAGAAGGAAACCAGAAAACGAGCTTCCTGTCTGTACAGGTTCACGCGGAGGATACTGGGAATCCATGAAAGGCTTGGGGGCAAGCAGCTTGGAAGTTCAGAACATAACAGGGCCAGCGAGAGTAGTAGATGTAGTCAGGAGGAGGTTGTGACGGGTGGGTACAGAACCGTGGATATTTCTGCACTGCCCTCTAATGCCCACAACGCGTACTACACCTATTGTTGGGTTCGGAGGACACCAATCAACTATCTAGGTTAAGCCCTGCTTAGAATCTGAGGTCTGATGGGATCGGGAGCATTACATGTCATCTGGTCACAGAGTGAAACAGCATCATCATCAGGATCCATGGGCAGAACCGTGAAGATGAAGAAGCAAAATCGTATGCGTGAAGATATAAACCAATTTCTAAACAGAGCAAAACACATGTCATGGCAATGGGCGACTTCACACCAATGGTAGGTGAAAGGTGCAGAGAAAAGCAGATCATTGGTGAAATTTGGTAGTGGAGTGAAAAGCGACACAGGAAAATGTCTACTAGGTTCCGTCGTTGCCAGCAGGGAAATTAAAATCATCAGCACCTTTTTTATAGAGACAAGTCTCGAAAATGAACATGCAGGAGCAAAAACAGAAAGAGTCCTAATTAAATGTAACACGTGTTGGCTATCGTGATCAATATTACGATTCGTAATGGATTTTTGGATCAGCGTGAGTAAAATAACAATGTGTGTCGTAGACTCTCCTCCACCCGACACAGCCAAATAGGTAACGTTGAAAACAATGAGATTGTTAAATGTTGCGGATCGCCTACAATGGCCTATAATGGCTCTTCTTCATAGCACACAGAGAGGCCAGACAGATGTAGTGAATGATAGTTGGAAACTGCACTATACACCATGGGGCCCTGATAAAATATATTTTTTAAATGTTGAAAGTTAATTGTGGCATCAATACGACTGCGAAAACCTCCTCTTTGAAAGATAAACGTTTAAAAAAATATGTTGAACTTTATGAGCAATGACAGACCCATTAGCCTCTTATCACACTTATATAAACTGCTCACAAAAGCCACAGAGAACTGAATAAGTCAATTTAGTGAGCAACCATACAGGACAACTGCCGCTGACCTCCCCACAAAGTGGTACTCATTTTGACACCAGGAGGATGACGAGCTGAGTCAAACCCCCCTACGATAATTTTATTTTTTATTGAACAAGAGCCGGCTACAGAGCGTGAGCGGTAAGGGGGGGGGGAGAGGTACAAATATTCTGCGGATGAAAGCCCGAGGCCAGGTGCTCACGGGCAGGAGGGAAGGAGGTTGGGCTCTCTGCCCTACTCACGAAGGGACAATGATCGGGAGCATGGTATATTTAGGGAGGGAAAGGCGAGGAAAGGGGGGGGGAGGAGGAGGGACCCCTACGAGGATTTTAACTCACGACCTTCCGACTGTGAGTCGCTCACTCCACCACTGAGCCACCGGGCCAGTGTGCAAATTACACAATGGGATCAACAAGTTACCTCCTGCTGGCAATTATAAATCATTGATTCGGAAGGATTTCCAGATACAAACACTGGTTCCAATATCACCGGTCAACATCCCAAAGCGGGGCTCCTCCTGAACATGTACTGTTATGTTTAGTTTCATAACGTGTCGTTCATGCAATTTGTTTCTCATAATCGAGGAGCAATCACAGACAACCTGGAAGGCAGCAGCAGTCCGGTGGTGAGCCAGCACTACCAATAATAGCCCAAGCTCTGCAGTCCTCTATATATACAAGATGAACTCTTGCTGCACACACACCGGTTGCTTGTGCTTGGCATCCGGCGTGAGAGGGCGCTTTCTGTAGTTGGGGCTGTTGTGCCAGGGTCCCGTCATCGTCCCTGTGCGAAAGTTGAAGTTGGAGAGGTCCATGACCTTTTCCGTCGCCTCCACGAGCTTCAGCTTGCTGCGGAATCGCTCCCCCGTGGGGCTGCGGGCCACGGGGAGGAGACGCAGAAACGGACAACGCGCGATTATTTAGATCATGATCTTGATTTAAAGCTTTCGTGACTGCAGTAATTCATATTCTTAGTTTTTTTCGGTAAAGTCACGTTGAAGGGAAACAACAAATTAATAAAATATATATAAAACAATAAAAAAAATCTCACGACGTTTCGACCATAACTCAAACGGTCGTCTTCAGGTGTGTTGGTTTGCATAAATTTATTTTTAAACGGTGCATTTGATAAACCATTTCAGGTCTTAATTGATTGCTCACGCTTACAGTGGCTTTCAGACAGCATACATTATAAAAAATGTCGTCTCCCCCCTCCTCTTTTCAGAATATAGATGGACTAGTCCTAAATAAACTGCCAAATCGTTGCGCGTGGCGCTAACGTTTTTGTAAATAAATAAATGCACCGTTTAAAAATAAATGTATGCAAACCAACACACCTGAAGACGACCGTTTGAGTTATGGTCGAAACGTCCTGAGAATTGTTTATTGTTTTATATATATTTTATTATTTTGTTGTTTCCCTTCAACGTGACTTTACCGAAAAAACTAAGTATATATATCATGATCGTTAACTAATTGGGGACGAGGTGATTTGTCTCTTTTTTAATACCACCCATTATTGTATTGTCAGGGGTGGAGCGGTGGCGCCGTGGTTCACGCACTAGACTGACTAGATATCGGTGAAAAAGTGCTTCATAGCTCATCGGATTTCTCCAGGATGAATAAAGATTTTGATTCTGAGACCTGGGGTCAGTCTGTTCACAAACTGGTACAATAATCATCTGAAACCTATTGTGATGTTTCTGTAAGTTAACTTTGCTATGAACAGTTTGTTTAATATGTGCGAGCTAACTTTTCTTCCAGGAAAATGTATTTAATTTTATATTGTATCTTTTTAAGCTCTGCTTTTTTACTTACTTTGTAAGGTGTTTTTTGTTTGCTTTCCTTTCTATTTGCGTCATTGATGCGCTTTTGTTTTTATGTTACCATTGCGAGAGTCATTTTGGGGACCCAGGTCGCTCTTGAAAATGAGACTGTCCTGGTCTCTTGAATTCTCATGTGGTTAAACAATATCACATTTTCATGATCTCCCACATCCGTATATCACGACTGCAATTAAAAAACTAAGGACCAAATTCAAATCTGGACGATCCCCTTTCATTTGATATTTTTGTTTGTCAAAAACAATTTTTGTTACATTAACGGAGAAATTGCAACAGAATTGTGTTTTGACTGCCTCACCGTCACGTGAATCTGGCCCGATATCCAAGTCGTAACTTGACCATGGTTAATTTGGGGTTATCAAGACAATTATTAGCAATAGGTGAAATTAATAGCCTCGTGACAAAAGCACGTGGAATACGCCCAATCTTGGAAGCTAAGCTTGCTTGAGCCTGCAAGCATGTACGGGCGCCACGGTGGCAAAATGTTAACTATATCTCCTAATATAGAGGTCGTAGGTTTGATCCCGACCCTGATGCCTGTATATTTCTAATTTCCATGTTCTCCCCGTGGTCGAGTACTATACATTTCCCCATAAGCCACTTTGTTGAGCTATCATTTGTGACCAGGTGACTTCTGAAAAAGAGCTATATAGCTCAATGGGCCTTACCTGATACATTTTTTTGAATTGTAAGTGCTTAAATGGGTGATCACAATGCATAAAACACGATCTTTTTTTATAAACTGTAACTTATGTTCTCCACAATGCAACAGTTTGTCATATATCTACGGGACTCTTTTTGCCAGTATCAAGAATAGCCTTTACCCTTTCCTTTCCAAAAATAATAGACTTTACCCTTTCCTTTCCAGAAAGGGTAAAGCCTATTATTCTTTCATCAGGCTGTCATATATAGTTGTGGGGATACATGGTGCTTCTTTTCTCTCCGCCTTCACCAACCCGCCCTGACCAGCGTGATGGAACGTGGTCAAATAAAGCTGGCCACCAGCACGGGGTGGCGAGGACCTCATCCAGCAGGGGATTGACATAAGTGGCCAAAAACATTAAGACAATGACTTTTACATTTAACGTGACTGATGTTGACCGTAAAACATCCCTCATACAAGCCTCGATAAAATACATAATGCACGCTTTTATTGGTCTTCTACTCATCGCAAAACGTTGTATAAAACTGAAAGCAGCCTGCCAATGAGTGCTGCCAACACGCAACGGGGCGATTTAAACACCTAATATTTGTGCGCTTGTCAAACGAGTGCCAACAGCAGGAGCGTAAAATGTTCAGAACACATTATGCCACTGTCTCTTCGATCGTGTCTTTTGCCATCAAATTTTAAAACCCAAACTATATGCATTTCTGCTGCATTGGCCTTATTTAGAACCGACCGTTCTCAGGGAGCTTGTAAAGTAATACAGTGATGTGTACACCACACAGCCCCATGGCAAACCGGCTGCGTGTTTGTGCACGGCATCGCGACGTGGTTGGCACGGCAGGGCGGTGCGACAAAATCCATAGCTGCTTCTGTACTTCAATGCCTCCACACGTCGATGCTCCAGACCCTGACTGAAAGGGATCGGGAGAACTTCATCCAGCAGTTGACACAAGCTAAGGGGTTGCACGTGGGAAAAAGGTTCACACGCACTCCAGCACGCCTGTCTCCATGTACTCCCTCCTTTCTCCTCTCTGTGGACCCTGTCCACTCAGGGTTAGGTGGTGGTGAGGGGCAAGTGATCTACCTCAGTGTTCTTCACTGTCAGGGGTGGGGGGGGGGGGCACTTTCGCCGATAAGACGTCATCGGTGTGAGCGCCACCATGCATGTGAAACCTTTGGGGGGTTTGACAGCAGCAGCACGATGATGATGATGGGGGGTGTGTTCACATCTGTGTATTGTCGGGGGCCGCAAGTCAGGGGTGGCACTAAAGGCCAACAGGGGTGGCACTAAAGGCCAACAGGGGTGGCACTAAAGGCCAACAGGGGTCGCACTAAAGGCCAACAGGGGTGGCACTAAAGGCCAACAGGGGTGGCACTAAAGGCCAACAGGGGTCGCACTAAAGGCCAACAGGGGTGGCACTAATGGCCAACAGGGGTCGCACTAAAGGCCAACAGGGGTCGCACTAAAGGCCAACAGGGGTCGCACTAAAGGCCAACAGGGGTCGCACTAAAGGCCAACAGGGGTCGCACTAAAGGCCAACAGGGGTCGCACTAAAGGCCAACAGGGGTCGCACTAAAGGCCAACAGGGGTCGCACTAAAGGCCAACAGGGGTCGCACTAAAGGCCAACAGGGGTCGCACTAAAGGCCAACAGGGGTCGCACTAAAGGCCAACAGGGGTCGCACTAAAGGCCAACAGGGGCCGCCAGTGGCCCGCGGCCCTTGCGATGAAGAAGAACCTTGCTATGCGGTCATGAAGAGTTGTTCAATGGAACTGGTAGATTCTTCTGGTCCCTGATGCCAAAGTGACATCACCAAAGCATTGGTTACTAGGCCCACGAGAACCTCAATACTGATGGAGAAAAAAATACGAAAAACTGGTGAACACTCGTGAATATGAACACTCATGACAACGAGATGGTACACGCCAGCCTACGTTTGAATTTCGGAGACATTTTGACGACAGCGAGGAGAATCACAGTCTTTGTCAGTCGCTCGTGTTTAAACCCGTCGCGACTGTGACATATTTTAGCCTGATGAAGACTAATCTAAACGTCTCATTTATGGAATTATAGGCTGACGTGCCACAACCTGTTGTCACGAGTGATGAATGAACGGATCAATGTGAAGTGATGGATTAACTGATGACCGATTAAGTAAATGAACAAATTGTAGTACAGTGATCCATTTCTTCACAACAGTTAACCGAGTATATAGAAATCAATGGATCCATATCTCAGAGGAGTGTTAAAAGATGTTATACGTGTGTTGAGATTGATGGGAGACTTGCAGAGGCTTGTAAATAAAATGTTTTTAATTTGAGTTGGGTATCTAAAATGGACCACCCTACATATCAATAGATCAAATCTTCCGTGAACTGATGCGAGCTGATGATGAAGAAACTGCTGCGTGGAGGCTAACAGCGAGAAGCAGCCATAGGTGGGGTGCTGACCCCGTGACCCTGATCCCCTTGACCGTGATCCTCCATGACCTTGAACCCAATGACCCAGATTCCCCTGTGACCCCTCTCCAATGCCGCTGATCCATCATGACCCTCACAGTCCCATCACCCCGAGCCCCATGACTCCCGATTTCCCACGGCCCTGACCCCGTATCTGGCGAGTTGAGTTCTCGGCCCCTCCTATGGAAGTGTCTCTCGGCGTGAGACGGCGCCACCACCGAGGGGCGGCTTCACTCGGCGCCCGCTTGGGGCATCGCGACCGCGGCTCCGTGCTGGGTGGGTGCGTGGGGTGGTGGTGGTGGTGAACTCTGGCGACTCGGCATTCAGTTGCGCCACATTCCACAATCAAATCATAGTTCCATAGTTCCATTTATTTTGGGTATAGCCCTGTGAGCCATTCGGCTCTTGAATCGGGTGCAACCGCAACAAACAAAAAACATGAACAAGAAAAACATCTTAAAGTGACCATGGTGTGACTGTGCAAACAGAAAATCCAGGAAAAAACATCAAAATATTCCTGAAATAGCACCGTGTACACCACCAACGCTGTGTGCAAAAATCCCAGTGGGATGCAAGTCAAATAACAACAAGACAACTAAGATTAAGGCCATCAGTCTAACTCCGTACCACAATAAACAAAAACATGGCCAAAAACATTCACGGCTCGTTTTGTCAATCCACTGCTGGATGAGGGGGGGCTTCCCCACGCCGTGCGGGCAATGGGCGGGGGTTTATTTGACCAAACTTCAGCACGGCCGGTCAGCAGTGCTGGGTTGAAGGCGGAAAGACATCGGCCCGGTGGAAGCTCCCAAGCACAGCGAGTGGACCTGACGACGACATCCTCGTCGCCGCCGCAGCTGCTGCTGCCTCCTTGCTACCCGTGGCCTCGCTCACCCAAGCCCCGAGCGACCCCTGGGCCCGGCTCCCTCAGAGAGCTTCACAATCGCCGCCCGCCCCAAAAATTTGTTTAAAAAAACACCCCCCCAACATTTTGTTGTTGTTGTTGTCAAAAACGCCTCCAGGCCGCCTCCATTGCCCAGCGCGGACTAGGCGCAGCCCTCTCGCCAACTGGCCGAGGGAACGTCCGGGCCCGGCTCGCGTCCGGGCCCGGCTCGCGTTCCCCACCGCCGGGGAGCGATGTCCGAGCGCGCCGCCGCCGCCTCACGACGACGGCGGCGGCGACTTTCGAGGGCCGGGGTTGAAAGCCGTGCGTCGCCTTCCTCACGCCCGGCTCTTTCCCCTCCCCTTTCAACGCCCGCCCGGCTGACTGCGCGAGGCGGCCGCACCTGTAGTAGTAGACGTCCGTCTTGCCGGCCGAGGCGCCCGACTTGCGGTACACCTCCTCGCGCGTCCATCCCGGCCCGAGCGCCGCGCACTCCGCCAGCTCCTTCGCCTTCATGGCCGCGGCGCCGCGGCTGCCTCCGGGAGTCTTCGTCGCGGACCCTCCACGCCGCCGTCGCCGCCATCAGGCGGCGCCTCATTGGCCGGAGCGCGGATTAGCGGGGCGAGGCACCGCGGCGAATGTCACCACTGTCTGTCTCGCGCGTGTGGCCGTCAGCACCACGCTTCGCTATCAACTCCCGTGACCACCCAAGGGTTGTCGCTCACGGCCGATTTATCTGGACCGGCACTGGGCCTCCCACTAGGTCGACTCGGCCTCGAATGAGTGGCTGGTGCGTTTGCGTAAACGTCGCCACTGGGGAGACAAAGGCGGTCGTGCGTGGTGCTCGCTAACACCATTTGCCCCTGCAGTCTACACGGGGATCTTTGAATGTTTACACGCTTGCTTGTAAGTCACTGTTGTTGTTGTGTCCTCAAATCTTGTAACTCAATTTTAACCTACTTCCCAATGTCGTATCGACTGCAAACTTGGTATACTTATGTCATACCGATGACAATACTATATTCTATCATTAAAACATATATTTTTAAACATTATTTTTTATATGTTCCGTTTCGGCTTCGGTCTAATTGTCCACAGTAAACTCACGTTGGCTGTAATTGGCCACGGTCCCTTACGTCGTGGCAAGCTTCGGGGCCACTTCCTGGAGTCGTGGAGTTCTTACATTACTAGCACGGTACATTTCATTAAAGCGTGGTTTTACAAAAGTATTTTTAAATATTACTTATTCTGTGTAGTGGTTGGCACAATAGGGGGCACAGGTGGTGCATCGGCCAGACATGGTCAGTCGACCCCCGTGGCACCTGCTGAGCCTCGACGTGCACCTAGCCTGGCACAAACACCGTGGTGACTTCACCGCCACTCAGCTGTTGTTGTTGTTGCTGTGTAGCGCGCTGCGCTGACAAACCTGGCGACCCGAGTTCGATTCCCGCTCACGGTCAACACCGGTGACGATTATTTGAACCGGCCCTGGGCCTCCCCTAGGTCGACTCAGCCTCGAACGAGTACCTGGTGCGGTGTGTAGTAAACACCGCCACTGGGGAGACAAAGGCGGCCGGGCGTGGTGCTGGCCAGCCACCCCCTTCGTGTTCCGAGCCGGCCTTGATAACAGCACTTGCCCCATCAGTCTGTTAAGGCTACACGGGGGAACTTTGTCTTTAGTTTTTTTTGTACGGGCACCACACTCACGAACGCCCGCACTCACGAACCCGGCTTCCATGGAAATTAAAACATAAACGCCTTTAAAAAATGTTTTTTTTAAACAGCGGTTTTTTAACTCTTGGTTCTTTCGGTAAAGTCACGTAGAAGGGAAACAATATATATAAAAATATATATTTATTATTTTATTGTTTCCCTTCTACGTGGTGACTTTACCGAAAGAACCAAGACTATGAATCCCTGCAGTCACCAAAGCTTTAAATCAAAACGGTTTTCTTTTAATGTATTTAAAGCTTTCCACGGGAAGTGGACGAAATCTTGATGACAATATTTAACCACGACACACAAACAGAGGAATGAACTTTTAAGAACTTTTTTTTCCACAACTTCGTTGAACTCGCCTTCGAAAAGTGCGTCAATGATGCTGCTCCCACAACAACAACATGTGGCGCCCGCTTCTTGGGCGAGGCGATTTCAGAGTTTAGGGACCGCGGCGTTTTTCACCTACTCCAATTAATATTTAAATAAGAAGCCGTCCAAACAAATTTGTAATTGCTTTAAAACATTAATTGATGCCGATTTTGATGCAGGCATGCATTGTCAACGGATCTGAGTACGTGTGCAAAATGTGGAATTGATTGGACAGCGGGAAGTGGACGAAATTTTGATTACAAAATTTGACCACGACAAACAGAGGAATCCAGTTAAGTAAAACCGTTGAATAAAACAATTCCAATAAGAAATGGGACTTTTTACATCGAAAAAAATCGCAGCCTTTGCGATTTGCTAAGGGTCCGTCCATAAATGACGTCACGATGCGTGACGAGGGGGGGGTGTTTGAGAAATGTGACGTCACATCAAAATGCGCAACTTTAAATGAAAAATATAATTGTTATAACAACACTCCTACTACATCAGAGTGCAGCGCCACATTAAATACGCACTACAATGACAATAGTTTAAAGCGATTTGAAGCATGTTTTATTTGGGGGGGGGGGGCAGAGCTTTGTGACGTCATATTCGAAGGGGGGTTTGACTTTTTGTGATGCCGTGACGAGGAGGGGGGGTCAAAAATAGTCCAAAATCGCGTGACGTCATTTATGGACGGCCCCTAATCGCATTGTTTCAAATTGCGATTTCGGTCGTCCCGAGTTCGGTTCCTGCTCACGGCCAACACCAGTGACGATTATCTTAATCGGTACTGGGCCTCTCCTAGGTAGACTCAGCCTCAAATGAGTACCTGGTGCGGTGTGTAAACATCGCCACCCGGGAGACAAAGGCGGTCGGGCGTGGAGTTGGCCACCCACTCCCTCGCGTGCCGTGCCTTGTCAGCCTTGCTAAGACTGTGTCCGTGTATAGTACAATTTATATTGCTGCACTGACCTCTACTGACGACATGGCCAACTACAAATGCATCGAGTATTGATAGCTCGTTACTGCACGGACATCTATCCGGATAAAGAAGAAATAAGTAATATTTAAAAATACTTTTATAAAAACGCGCTTTAATGAAATGTACCGTACGAGTATTGGCAGAACTCCACCACGACTCCAGGAAGTGGCCCCGAAGCTTGCCACAACGTACGGGCACCGTGGTGATTCACAGCCAACGTCAGTTGAGCGTGGACAATTAGAGCGAAACCGAAACATAACATATAAAAAAATATTGCTGATTTTTTTTATTTTTAATGATAGAATATAGTATTGCCATCAGTATGACATAAGCATACCGAGTTTGCAGTCGATACCACATTGGGAAGTGGGTTAAAATTGAGTTACAAGATTTGAGGATACAACAGAGTTGAGGATTCAACAGACAGAGTTAAATAAAATCGTTCTATAAAAATCATGCATACGCATGGAGTAGGTAATGATTTCCAACATGCGCTTGTCCTCGGAAGAATGTAGCGATAAAAAACACTCGGTAGGGCTCTCGCTCCAGGCACGCGGGCACAATAGTCGGCTGGGCGGAGACGACGTGGGGCCCAGATGGACCACGGATCTGCGGTGGATCTGTGGTGGATCGGTGGATCTGTAGATCTGTGGTGGATCTGCGGTGGATCTGTGGTGGATCGGTGGATCTGTAGATCTGTGGTGGATCTGTGGGGGATCTGTGGGGGATCTGTGGTGGATCTGTGGTGGATCTATGGTGGATCTGTGGATCTGTGGTGGATCTATGGTGGATCTATGGTGGATCTGTGGTGGATCGGTGGTGGATCTGTGGTGGATCTGTGGTGGATCTGCGGTGGATCTGCGGTGGATCTATGGTGGATCTGTGCATCTATGGTGGATGTGGATCTGTGGATCCGCGGTGGATCTATGGTGGATCTGCGGTGGATCTGCCCGGGAGCTCGGCTCGTTCGCTTTGCTCGCGTGGGGGCGTCCAGGATGCCGGTGCGGCTTCTTTAAGCGCCGATTGTTTTTAATCTCTCTTTAAATGTTGAGCCAGCCCTTTGATCAATGTTATCGCTGTTGCGTGGACCTCCGAAATATGCAGTGCTTGTTGAACTTCACACTCTTGGTTGAACTTCATATTCCTGCAGTCACAAAAGTTGTAAGCCTGTTGAACTTCTTTCGCACCGTAAGCCAACCGCGCTAATCAAAAATGCGGGGTGAAGGACAACGAACTCGACACAAAAAGCAGCTCTTAAGATTCGTATAAGTATGTATTGTAAGACCTTGGTGTGAAGGCCTTTCCCAACATGATGAACCCAGGAAAGCCTTACCGGGTTTCAGGACTCTTCGTGCTGCAAGGGAGCAGTGATTGCTGTGTCATGCCGATTCCAACGTCGTCATTTGTGGGTACTTTTTCAGATTTTACAAATTCGGAACGTAACGTCGGCACCCACGAATGCCGAATCTGGCGAACGTCGCGGGATCTTTAACGTCCACTCTGAAGCAAGCAGGCGGCGTGCAGAATGGTTGCGGGTCATAAACCCGAAGTGTTCGTCGATCTCTTATTCTACTCCACCTCCTCCTCCTCCTGATTCGATGGATTGTGACGATTAAATATTGTTTTTTTGTAACAAGGGGGCCGTCTATAAATGACGTCACGCGATTTTGGACGATTTTTGACCCCCCCCCCTTCGTCACACGGCGTCACAAAAAGTCAGACCCCCCTCAAATATGACGTCACAAAGCTCTGCCCCCCCCCCGCCCCCCGAAAAAAACACATGCTTCAAATCGCTTTAAACTAGTCATTGTAGTGCGTTTTTAATGTGGCGCTGCACTCTGATGTTGTAGGAGAAATCATTTATTAAAAAAAAGTCTATTTAATTAAGTAGAACGTGTTGTCTATATTTATTTAAAGTTGCGCATTTTGATGTGGCGTCACATTTCTCAAACCCCCCCCCCCGTCACACATCGTCACAAATGTCTGACCCCCCCCCCCTAGCTGCGTGACGTCATTTATGGGCGGCCCCCTTGCTCAAAACAATGTGATCCAAACAATAGAACAGGAGTTGAGGTTGAGTGGAGAGCTTCTCGTCATTTACAGCAAGGGTCAGAATTGATTTGTGGCACTTCTTTCAGACGGCTGATGGAGATGGAGAGCAACAACTACAATTTCACATTCAGACAACCGCGCCAGGGGTCGCGGAGTTGGACATCGCTGCGATGTCTCCTTCATATTCGTGGACCGGGCACTGCGTCTTTTATACGCACGGTCTTTTCTGGATGACCACAGTCGCACCACTACTCTTGGAGAGTTTAAATTTGTGCATCAGGTATCCGCATCTGCCGTGGTTTGTGCAGTGGATGCGTTTTAGGGGTAAACCATTTTTTAAACAACGGTTTTTTAACTCTTGGTTCTTTCGGTAAAGTCACGTAGAAGGGAAACAATATATATAAAAATATATATTTTTATTATTTTATTGTTTCCCTTCTACGTGGTGACTTTACCGAAAGAACCAAGACTATGAATCCCTGCAGTCACCAAAGCTTTAAATCAAAACGGTTTTCTTTTAATGTATTTAAAGCTTTCCACGGGAAGTGGACGAAATCTTGATGACAATA